ACATTTTTCTCGGCGCACTGTGCGCGTCAGTTCCTTTCCTTCTGTTGACCCTTTTCTGCTCTCTAATGGGGCGAGCTAGAAAATGGAAACTTCATTTCCTTGTCTAGTTATTTTTCTACCTGAAGCGATTCGAACTTATTCCATTATGCGCGGCCGTAAGTCGGGTCCGCTAAGTTTTCAGTAACTAAGATGTTTTTCAACAGATGTTCCAACAATTCAGTGTTGCTGACGCTGCCGCCTTACCGTTCCCTCATTCCTGTCACTGTGGATTCTGATAGTGGATGAACAAGTGTGTGCGCGACGTTTTTCTCATCAGAGGAAACCAACGTTTCACCTTGGGCCTATGCCTTTGCAGTTTCATTGCGCACTGAAGGAGAATGTTTGTACAGAATGTTGAACATGGCTACACTACTAGTAAAGTTTTTCCAAAAAATTAAAGAATCAAATCATTAGTGCGAGCGCTTCTTCAAGGAAGCATCCCCCGCCGCCCGCCAGTGCGGCGGGGCTAGTTTCCTTGAGGAAGTGCGAATTCTCCTACGTCCAAGGTAGTAGCTACTTGTAGGTGCTAATTACTACTAGCGACCTCCGCGGCCTACCCCCACCGCGCGCGGGAGGGGACGGGGGGAGCGGCTAAAAAAATAAATGCTTTTGGAGGGGGTCAAGTAAGAAGTTTGCTTCGCCGAGGAAATACTCGTGGACGCACATCACAGCTTCAACACGCGGATGCACTTCAAGGCAGCTACCCGACATGGGAGTCTCGGCACAAAAATTGACATATGCCTCGACAGATACTTCAATGAGATTGAATCACAGAGTCGCCTAGAAAGGAAACATGTTCTAACCAGTCTCATGAATAATGGCTAAGAGGCCAACGCGTAATTGCTGAACCATTTGGGCGCACAGCAATCGCAGGCCCACGTATCCGACTCAAAGTCCAGTTGGACAATCCTTTGCCCGGTACAGAAGTCCCCCAGTGCCCCACACCGTTTTTCTATATTCAAAAGGTAAAAACTGTAGAGTTAGGTCAGATCATGTTGCGCATAGGTTTCTCCAACGGACGGGCAAGATGGGATGAATACGTTCCCAACGAGAACCGACGACACGATCACCTGAGGACCACTCAGTTTGATGCACATGTGGAAGCATCTCATGAAGATCTTGAACCGGAAAATGAGGCTCGCAGCTCAGGGTGGACTGAACCGGAAAAGACCCAAGGCCCAAGAGCGTTCAATCAAAGATAAATTAAATTTCAAGCATTGCGATCAGATCAACAAACCCTTGCATTGTGTCGTTGCATACCAGCCCGCAAAAGCGCCAAGGTACAAGGGAAATGTTGCAGCCAAAATGCCTTTGAAACTTTGGTGTTGTTCTAGTCCACACCACATCCATCAAACACTACCCGATTCTGAGAGGGACTCAAGAGTTCCGAACCAGGACGTCCCAACCATTTTCTGGTAGAAACAATAAGCTATTAGGAACAAGTGCATCGCTTCTAGTAACAAGTGCCTTACTAGTAGTAACAATGCTAGTAGAAACAATATAGAATTAAGTGTAATTAGTGTTGTTCGCATTTGGGGGAACCTGGTTTCTTCGCATGCTGGCCCCGGATCCAACATCAGTGATCCTGTAGGGTTGTGTGGTTGTGTTTTGAATAGACATGTGTGGTTTGTGTGGCAAGACGTACCCCATATTTGAGCTGCAGTCACCATAGTATAGATTCCAGTAACACCGGCATGCGCAGGAGGTCACGCTGGAGATGAGGATTGGACTTGTTGATTTGGGGCCAACCGTGGCAGAAACACTCTGAAAGCGGAGTCGTGAACAGTAATTAATCAAGAGGACCAACAGACAATCCAATGGAACATCTTTGATATCTGATGCTCTATGTTTCAAGTGTTTCAAGGCCTTGGGTTGACCCTTCATAGTCGCAGGTGAGACGTGTCCACTCCGGAAAGTGGAACTTTCAAAGTTTTTCCGGTGGTGCTGGGTGCTCCACAAAAGAGTTTTTGGAACCTTTGCAGTCTAAGGGACCTGTTTCATCTTTAAAACATAGAACATCCAGCAGTCTCCAATCTATTTATGGATCAAATTGTGGGCATTTTGCTTTGTTATTGTGGGTGTCTGACAGTTATCATGGACCGGGAATCCGCTGTTGACCGAAGGTTAACTAGAACGTAGAACGTCTACAGTAGTTACTAGGTTCTTCAATTGGCCCAACAGGGGCGACTTGAACGAAGGGCTAGCCAGTCAGTCTCCAGCTTCACACTCATCAATAAGCTCAATGGTCGCGTTCGTTGAGGCAGCCAAACATGCCAACAGCGCACCTTTCACAAAGATAGATCAGAACAGATCAGAAGAACTAACCGCACAAGAATGCTTCTTTTCTTTGGACAAGAACTAACCCTCGTGTTGCTTTTCCACCAGGGTTTCGGCGAAGTACTTTTGTATCCCGAGGACATGCAGGTGCAGAGAGCATGTTTAAAATCAACTAGGTGAACACTTTGGCTGGAAGTTGGTGAAGGTTGCTTCACTTGTTCTCAGAAGATGGATTGTAAGGACATAAGCTGCTAGCGTGTCAATGTGACTCGGATGGCAAGCGAATGCTGTCCGAACTACACCTGGCCACCCCAGGTCGGACGATGGGACCAAGTCCCATCGTCCTCACCGATTTGTGAGCCCAACCGACGGCCGTACCGTGTCCCTCCAACGTGTCGGTCGACTCCATCAGGGCAACCGAAGAGCGGTCCGCGCCACCGTGCTACGGGGTCCGCGCGAAAAAGAAGCCGAGATAGAAGCACAGCCAGCGCTAAGGCTCGGGAGTTTCAGAACATGTCTTCTAGTCAAAAGGTTTAGTCTGCCAGTCTCATCAACTGTTTGTATTGAATTGAATTTCACCATGCGTACGACTTGCTGCAGAATGCTGCAGTTGTGTAAGCTTTGATGTGTTTCTGTGTTCGTTGGTTTCGTTTGGGGTTCTCCAACAGGGCCCCAATTGAAACGAGTCGACCAAATCAGCAACACAAGTCGTTCGATTGCAATGGGTCAAACAATGCGGTCGATCATCATTGGCAAAGGCTGCGTCGTGCAAGGCGTTCATGACAAAGGTGCCTTGAAACGTGCAAAGGTATCACATGAACAGGAAGGGAAGTGCTCAAAGCCTAAATTCAGACTTAGCTCCTGAATCATGTGGCTCGCGAAGCGAACATGAATTCAACTCATGAAATGTATGAGCTCCAGGACTCCAGGACTTAGCTTATTGTCGGAGTGTCGGAGTTCCATCAGTTCCAACTCAAGACATCCGTGGATTAGACATGAAAAAATGTCCTGGAAATCTCACACACACACATAGGGCCTGCCACAGCCGGCAAGCAGACCAAGACTATGGACAGAACAAGCAAAAGAGATCAAAAGAGCAAACCAGAACAAGAAGATGAAAAGCGATACATGTTCGCCAGGTTCCTTTTTGTAAAGCTCACGTCGCCCTCACGGACCTGCAGGTCCAACGTTCCCAGACACCTCTCTCCCTGTTCAGAGTTTGTGCTGCTTGTGTTCACAGATTTTCGAGAGAAATACACTGTTCTCGTTTCGACTCTACCGCTTGGGGTGCCGAGGATCCAACACGTCGACTTTACTCACGGCAATCCGGCCAAGGTGTCGGGATCAGTCTTTGGAGGAGGTGTGTATGGAAAAGGCATCGGCCAAAGGAATCAGAACTGAACTCCGTAATTCGATGGCAACTCCGTAGGCTATGTTGGGCCATCCCCCACACACACCGGAGGGTCTCAAACGCAAAGGTGTACCGGGTTCGTTGACTGATTGTTGTTTGGTTCTCTTGAGCATCTGGTACTATCAGTACTGTCATCATATTGATTTTCTTTGTGGCACATTTATTGGTGCTTGGAGAAAATGTTGGATCTGTTTGACATGGTGGTAACATAACCCGATTCGAGACGCTGTACGCTGAGAACACTTTGACCTCAAGCAGTTAAAGATGCCAAGCACGTGCTATTTTCTCCGTGGTCGTTCTGGAATGGAAAACACATGTTTTTCATTTCTTCGCCCTCGCCACTTGCGGGTGCAAACCGAGTAAAAAAGGCCAGATTCAGATTGGCGTGCGAAAAGACCTTTCAAACTTGCGACCTGGAACGGCCTCGCCGTGATTTTGTAACAATCCAACCTTGGTGAATGCTACAAACATCTAACTGCAAACAACTTTGTTACCTCCTTTGTAGTGAACGTACGGGTTTGTTGCCGGACATGTTCTTGCCGCATTTCGTAGTTTCCGGCTGGGTCCATGGCTCCACACAGAAGTCGCAGCGTAAACGCTTCAGGCGTGGGTTGCCAAAGGCAAGCTTTGGTTTCCACTTACCTGCAGGCGGGGGCGTTGCGCAGCTGCAAGACAAGCTGTCGAACCAAGACATGTTGTTGGCGCAATGGCCGCCGTGACAGCTTGTCAAACGTTCATGAGATTTCGAAGCCCAAAGCCAAATCTAGTACTGCGTGTTCTTGAGCCCAGGAAACAAGGGACAATTGGACTTACGTTTCGGAAGCAATGACGCTATTAGGGACTCCTGGCCATACTACTAGTAACAAGAAGCTATTTAGAAACAAGAAGCTGTTTCAGAAGTCTTTGCAAAAAAAACATTTCATCAGTGTCATACATCCACCATGGCTTCTTCTCCGATGCGAGGCCTGCATCTTCTGCGGGGCTGGACGGGTGATTGGCGTGGCGCCACGGGATGTGGCAGTGCCACGGCGAGGAGGACCGCTGATGGGGCCGAAGTGGGCGGCGAGGAGGACGCGTCACCGGAGAGAGTGGAGGGCTGCGCTCTTGCCAAGCGAGACGGAAAAGAGATCACATAGAGCCTTCACTATCTTCAAAAACCACAAGAATGCATTGCCCCAATCGATTTACACCAGGAAATACCACACTGCGTCCGTAACTAGTCATTTGGGCCCAAGCGCTGGCAGAAGGGAATCAGCCACGCTTTGCCCAGACTATGGCGGTGATGCTTTCACGAGTCGCGGCTGCAATGCGTTTGAGTTGTCCAGCCTCAGCACCTAGCCGTGCTGCGAGTTCCGCTCGCAAGCCAAGCGAAGAAGCCCCAAAGATCAATCGAGAGCTCTTGGAGCTGCTTCGCAAGCCACCCACACCGCCACCACTTCCAGATTTCCTCAGGAATGACAAAGAATTGCGAGTTCGTGTCGAGTACGTCAAGGTGTCCCATCAGCATGAACAACACCAGAAGTTCTGGGAAAAAATGTCACTTCCAGGGGGAGTCTTTGCACTTGGAAGTATCGGTTGGCGGTGATCCAGCAGCCTCATTAGATTGTGCTTCACTCACACTTGCCAACGAGTTCAGAGCTTGGACCACCTCTCCTGCAACTGTGGATTTCATTAGCTTCTGGAAGCTGTGTGGTTTGAAAGCATGTTTGAATCTCTCAAAGGTCGGTGCAGTGAGTGCCAGCATGGTGAAAGCAGAGGTTTTGCACGGAATCGCATTCCAGGGGATTGTTGCTGCAGTCGGTGGCGTCTATGTGGCAGGCACCGTTGCAACCGGTGGTGGTCTTGCTGCCATTGGCTCGACAACAGGACTGGCTGGAGAGCTAGCTGCAGGTTTGGGGCTCGAAGTGGTTGCACTGGAGGCAGCTTGTCAAGCAGCTGCTTTGGAGCTGCTTGCTGCAGAAAGTGCCATGGCTGCAGCCACTACAATCGTGGCAGAAGTGGCAGCAGCGGAAGTCGCAATCGCAGCCGTGGAGCCTGGGCTTGCCTGCCTCACTGTTGGATTGTCGTACCTACTGATGCCTGTCCGCTGCGCTCTGCTTGGCCGCAAACTGCTACAACTCAAAGAGGCATACGAGGCCAACAAGAAGGAACGGGAAGTTCAGAAAAAATGCAAGCAAGACATGCAAATGTATCTCGAGGCCTGGAAGAAGTACTTGGCAGACTTTGAGAAGTATGTCAAAGCACTGTACATACAAGACTGCGCTTGACTATTGTGACCTTGCCCGGCGATCATGTTCCCATTTCACCGTTTCGCGCAGACTTCTGAGTGAAGGTTCCTCAGACTTTAACCAATTTGAGTGCCCGCTCCGCTGGTTACAGTCTCCATTGCAGCAAAACAGCATTTCCATCCTGTTCAACAGCCCGGAAAGCAACACCTGAAACGCAAACTGCTGGGAAAGAAGAGACTAAAACCAAGAAGTTTCGATTACTGACATACAAGATTAAACATTTAACTATCGTGGCAAGAGACCCTAAACAGTGTGTGTGAGGTTTAGAGGTGTAGCAGCAGAAAGTCTACAGACCTAGACGCATTGGGGTTCAGATGAGTGCGTGCGTGAGTGAGTGCGTGAGAGAGGGAGGGAGTGAGTGAGAGTGTGAGTGTGAGTGTGAGCCAGTGAGACGCGAAATCTGCACTTCGAGGTTCACAAAGTTCTGCGCCTGCCACGAAATCTGCACTCGGAGGTTCACAAAGTTCTGCACCTCCCACGAAATCTGCACTCCGAGGATCACAAAGTTCTGCGCCTGCCACGGAATCTGCACCTCGAGGTTCACAAAGTGCTGCCCCTGCCACGAGATCAGCACTTCAAGGTTCACAAAGCGCTGCACTTGCCACGAAATCTGCACTTCGAGGTTCAGCTGCGCCTGCCACGATTTCTAAAAACGAACCACGTGTACAAAAGTCACGACTCACTGCACCTGTCACGAAATTAGAGCGCCTCCAAGATCACCACCACATCCAAAGTGCTGCACCTGCCACGAAATCTGCATTTCGAAGTAAACCTGCTCCGATCCCTTGCACCTGTCACGAAAAGTCGACTTTGGCCAAAACAGAAGGTTCCCTGCGCACCTACCGCGAAAAGTGACCACACCAGCCCACCAGATTTTGCGAGCCTGCTCAGTCGAAATGCTTCCGAGAAGCATGAACGTATTGGGCTTGTCCTATTACCTGTAACCGTCGGTGGACAAATTCACTACTTTTGAACAAGGCCTTTACTAACCATCATCATCCACTGTTACTGCTAATAGGATAGACCCAATGCAGTCTAAGCAGCAGCGAATCAGCCGGGCACGTCGGCGCGACACCTCGATTAGACACCGCCACCGGTTGGGGAAAAACAACAGACAGGTGAAAGTGTCATCAAGTGACGCAGTTTTTCCGTAGATTCACCCAGACCTTGCATGCCAAAACCGCTCGCAGGATCCAACGGTCCGTGACTGGTTGATGGGTTCTTTGACGCTGCGGATGACAGCATGGCGCCTCGGATGAGCTTTGTATCTTAACCCACGCCCATTGAGTCGAACATGTTCACATTACATTCCACTCAATGGATCCAACGCGAGGCTCAACTCTCAAAGAATTGCCCTTTGCGATGTTATAATGCGATCGGCTTTGACAACGGTTAGACTGTACAGTCGCATCATTGGCGCCCATCCTTCGGGAAGAATCATGTTCGCACATTTTATTTGATTGTTTTTCTTTCGCCAAAAGTTGCAGTGGGTCAAAGTTAGACAGGTGTGCCTTCAAGTATGGGAAGTTTGAAAGGCCCCACGCGTGTGTTTTCACCAAAATCTGCCACCAATATCACGAGTTTCTGACCTGTTCGCAAATGCCAATATGTCTGACCATTTGGGAATCCAATGAGGTTCTGAATTTGCCAGTGTCGCTTGGACTATTGGTGCCAAACAGAAGAGACCGGAAGAGCTTGGAGGCTGCTTTCGTGCCTTGCCGGCAGAAGAGCCATGGTTTTTCGGGGGCGCCTGGGCCCACCTGGTGTTTCAGAGTCCAGGCATCCCGCAGCATGCAGCACTGTTCTCCACAAGTCCAAGCGAGCAGTGACTGTGAGCATGGGTTGGGACGAGCTGGTGGTTTGGAGATGCTGTTCGGTGTTGGTTTGGGGGATCGGTTTGGGAGATCTGCCGAGAACCCATCCTATACGCATCTCACAAACTCCATGCTCTCACAGTACTTCGAGAGCTCACCAAGCTCACCAAATCATCCTACGATGCCGCGCGCAAGCTCCGTTCGGGCCAATACACTACGCCGTACAAACACTACGCCGTACCTTTCCACCTCCCTACACACAAGCTAACAAAAACAAGCCCATGTTACCCTCAGCAAGCTTCACAACCATCGACGATGGGAACAAACCTTCATGCATCCACCACATGAAGATCAGCTTCCATGTGGCTGCCCCCACCTACGCACCCTTCTCAAACCTGACCACCCCACACCCAGTGAGGATCACCTCATTGTCACTCTGGAAGACTTTCAACTGCCACCCCACTTGCACCACTTTCTGGGAGCCAGCCAACATGCCAGTCGCCTGAGCTCTTTCGACCTTTACCCGACCAAAACACGACCAACATTCGAGCTCTTATCCAACAAGCTTTCCCCGGCCAGCTCCGCAAAAAATACAAATGGGGCTTGCGCACCAACTTCACCGTGCCTCATGGTGTCGTTCACCTCAAATTCAAAAAGCACTGGAAAAAGGCCACGACATCCTTTCCTACTTCCAGTCCCATTACGGCAATTTGCTCGGGGCACATCCACTGTTCTCAACACCATGATCTTCAGACTCTTGCCCAAGAACCAGGCCAAATTTCCATCCCCCCGCTTTGGCGTCACCTCCACGATTACCTCCAACACACTCCTGCCCACATCACCTTCCATGCCATCAACGATGACCTGGTTGGTTTCTTCAACTCAGTCCCACAAGACCGGCTGCTGGACGCTGTCCAAAGCCTCACCACCAAATCGCAGCTCACTTTTGACACTCCCACCCCACCCTCAAAGCCACACAGCACACCCTCTCCGGCTCTCACATGTCGGCCAACACCACAGACGTCACCCCACGCAACGCACCATTGACGCCAACAACGTTGTTGCTATTGTAAAAGTTGCACTGGACACCTGTATTTTCCAAGCATGTACTACCTACTTCCAACAGGTAAGAGGAGCGGGGATTGGATCCCAGCTCTCTCCAGCGCTATGCAATCGAGCACTCCTGGCACCAGCTCCACTCCTCCCTCACCGACCACACAGAGATCCAGGTCACCTACTACCGCTACGTGGACAATCGCTTCATCACCTTCAACCACACCTTCCTTGATCACATTGGCATTCAAACCATCATCCACCCGGACTTCTTTGGGAACCCAGTCGAACTGGAACCATCGATGATATGCACCTCCTCGCCTTTGACGTCGACCTCAACCAGCGCACCATCACCTACATCCCTCCCCTGGAAAATTCGAGATCATGCTTCAGCCGGGCTCCCGGAGACTACGCTTGTCAGGACTCAACTCCAGAGCACACCTCATCCGCAACTACACCTACCCCGCCTCGGTAGCTGAATGCTCAACTTGCCCAACTCTACGCCCAAAAAGGGCATGACCTAGCAGACTGCACATGCGAGTTGTTCGCAGCAAAAAAGACCGTCTTGCCTTACTTACTATCCTCCTCACCACCATTGAAACCTACCCGTTCCGACCTCCACCAATCCCCTCCACCCAGAGTGTGCCGAATTGACGGCTGTTTGTGTGTGTGTGTGTGTCCACACCTGTTTCCAGAATTCGCCAGCTAGTAATTCACACATGACAGCTGCATGGGGGGCAACGGCCAGTCTACTTACGTTGCCCAACGAAGCTACAGAAGACTGGTGGAAGCATTCAGGGACGCCTGAATGCGTACCTGCCATTTTAATACACCGTCAAGGGCTGATGAGTTTCCTCCGTCTTACCCATGTGAAACACTCGTGTTGATCTGACCCAGCTTTCATTCCCTTCCTGCGAGTCAAGGTCTAGTATTGCAGCCGGTATTGTAACCACTAGAGTGGATTGCCTTAACTGAATTAGCTCTAGCGAGCATCAATCTAAGTGTGTGACGCGCATTTGTGAGTGCAATCGCATGGTGAATACATCTAAGCGCGGGCGTCCAGGTACCTGGCAGCATAAATGCGCCAACAGCATGACATGCCACTTTACCAAGTAGAAAGACAACTAGCCGACCCACCCATGAGTAGCCAGCCAGCCAACCAGCTCTTTGGTGTTGGGAGTTCTCTTATTAACCCCTCCTCTTTGTGCTTCCGCCCTCTCAGGTGGCGACTGTCGAGTTTTTTGTTCCCGTTGTCTTTTGTGACTACCCAAAACTGAGAACAAAATCGCCAAGATACCTCGGAAGGATCAGAAAAAATGCGCGCCAAATCACATGTGTTTTGTAAAATAGTCTTTGAAGACCAAATGGGAAAAGAAAAGAGAAACATGTTATTGTCAATTAACAGAACACGTGTCCGTTCTTCACCTTAGGGCCCGTCCATCGGGACGGGCCGGCCACTGAACGGGCGAGCTGGGCTTTCAACGGAGCGCTCCAAGCGAACCAATCCAAAGTTCGCTATATAGGTTTGAGCCAAGCTCGTTTTTGGAATAGTTCGATGAGTGGACCCTAAGTTCACCACTTTATATGTCATTACACCTTCGCATGGCGGATGTGTTTATTTTCCGAAAAAGGGTGCCGTGACTGACTCCGCCCATGGAGCTGGGAAACAACTGGCCCCCACAGCAGCGCCATTGGGAACCGAGGCGATCGAGGATCTCACACTCTGACGCTCCTGCGGGCTACCTCGATCAATATGCGACACAAAAAAGGGTGGCTACCTCAATCACGATAATTTCAGTTTCGACGAAGCGTCAACCTCACACATCGGGAGCACGATCGCCTCATGCACAGTTGTTTTTCCTGTGCGCTGGTCTTTCCTGTCCTGCAGCATTTGCTTCGAGTTTTGGGGCCGAAACCTATTTGAGTTTTGCGTCCGACAGACGACAGATGACACGTCGGCGACCTCAGTGGGGTTCTTGAAGGTATCCCACAGCGAAAGCACAGGCCAATCCAGCTTCTCACTGGATGTACTTGAGAGGCCCAGCAACTCCGCATGGAATACAATGGGATGAGATCAGGGAGCCTCCCCGTACGCAACCATCCCCACCGTTCAGAAACCCAGCTCATACCTCAGACCACCCACCGACGGATCCTAACCTTCTCAGTCCGACAGCTTTCGGAGTTCCAGCTCCGCACGCCGCACCGATGGCGCTCGCCGCTACACTCCACGTGGCCGCTGGGCAGCGAGGTGTCGGGCGAAGCGGAGTGGTGTGCGTGGAGCGCTGCGAAGCATTGCGCGGGGCGCGCTGGTGATGGTTGGAGACGAGTGTAGCTTACATGGGTCAAACATAGAGAAGCACAATGGCCCTTGATTCAATGAATCCGCTCTCTTCTCCACTGAAGGACTTGAAGGACTGTGCCTTTTGGAGACTGGGTGCGTGCGATTCACAGATGGAGTGGAGTCAAATTTATTTGACTCTGTTGAGCCTTGTCGGCGGGCCGGGCAAGATCTGCGTGGACTGGCCCCTTCTGGGCCTTGACATGTTTCCTTCCACGGTCCAGTTCAACAGCTGTAAAAAGAGCTTCTTTGTGCCCAGCAACCAGTGAAGGTCCCAAAGCCTGTGCCAAGAGCCCGGCCGAGTGCAGTCCACTCGTCCGCTGTCGAGGTGAACGTTGCGGCGTGGCTTTCATGGTGCCTCTTGCTGCTCCATGCGCTCCTGCCACACAGGGATGCAGGTGCGGTTCCAGTGGGCGGGGTCTGTTTTGCAGACACTTCTGGAGCCGGTCCCTTCCAGACACTTCGGCGCTGCTTGTGAGGTCTTCGGGACGGCAACGCCAAGATGCTTTTCTTGGCCTTGCAGGCCTTGATGGCACTGGAGGTTTGTGCCATCACCTTCTCTCGGAAGTGTAGCGCCTTGGTGGGATGTTTGGAGAGGTCATTGGCGTTTGGCTTAAGGTGCTGAAGTATCCTTTTGGCGGTTCCGACTAGACACTTGTTTGAAGAGGAATGACCGTTCCACTTATTTGTGGGCACTATAGTGGACAACGATGCCAGTTCATGTAGAGAACCACACCGCCTGAATGCTGGAGAAAGTGGACTTGCTTGGCACCTTCTCTTTTCAAGCCCACGAGCATGCATTTGGACGCAGGGATGAGCAATACCAGCTCCAACTTGTATGTAATGTCAGACGTCAACTGTAGATGACCCTCATATCGCGACGAAGATCTACAGGTTTATGGTAGGCTTTGCAATAGGTTTTCTGTGTTTTTCCTTTGTACTCTTTCTTTTCGTTAAAAGGGACAGCCGGAACCTGTTTTTCTTGTTCCGGCTTTTCTGCAGTTTTTCTCGGAACGTGTTCGGCCGAGGCGTCGGGAACTTCCTGCAAACGGGGCTGGGCGTCTTCATCTGCTCCTCGGCGAAGCACCGGTGCACCGTCGGTGGGATGAAGAAAGGCACCAGCCAGGTCGGTAAAGGCCAAGTGAGTGGACTTCAAAGGCGTCCGTGACCGCCCCTGGTCCGGAAAACGTAAAGGAAGAAAAGGCACCTTTTCGGTGAATCGCCTCATCGTCTTCTAGCAGCGTCCCTCCTAGTAGCGATGACAGGAGTCCCTAGTAGCGATTGTCTCAAAGGTCTTGCCTTGACCGTCTTCGAGGTCTTTTCCGGGTGAGCACGGCCTTGCTGGTGGTCCCACTGTTGGAGAACGAGTGGCTCCAGAAGGTGCAAACGAGGGATTAAAATTGCGCGAACGCAAAGAAATCTTGGACAATCAGAAACCAATGCAGATGACTGGAGGGATGCCCACTCCAATCCCCACTCCACTCCACTTAGATGGAGGCACTCCTCGCCGGCTGGGCCTTGTCGGACACCGTGCGCTACGCAGCGCTCGTGGGCTGCTGGGCGTTGAATGGGAGGTTTGACCAAGTCATTCTCCATCCTTTGCATCCTAGCAGCGATGCCAGGAGCCCCTAGTAGCCTTTTTCCAGTTCACATGTCCTCTTTTCCACGTCTCCATCCTTTTACACACCGGTTCTGTTTCCGCCGTTGTTTGTGTTCTTCGTCTGAAGGCAAAGGTGTGGCGTCCTTGCAGCGCTTGCGCCGCGCGGCGTCCACGGTGCTCTTCCCGCTGGTGGCGCTGGCAGAACTGGGGGCTGCAGGGTTGGTGCTGGAGACGAGTTCGGAGAGGACGCGGCATTTCTTGATGGTTTCGTGGTGAAGAAAGCTGGAGATGGGTGGAGATGGGTCTAGGGGGGCGGATGATGGTGGATGTGTTGGTGGAGAATTCCCGATCAATGTGTTTTGTAGTGCAAGGCCTTTTGAGTGAGGTGCCAGATCTTCGCTTTAGGAGGTGGCACTTCTGCCAACCAATTCGGCCTATTTGTTCGAACACCCTGTGCGACCCAGGCCCAGATGTGCGTGACGCTGCTGGGCGTGCCCGTGGGGTCCTTCCTGTTTCTGCGGGCGGCGTCCAAGAAATCCACCTGAAGGCCCGGCCGCGGCATCCGCGGGGTCGCGGGTGAAAACAGTCGCATCGGCATGAGGTCGTGGACGGTTGGACACTTGGGTGGTTGTCTACATAGTTGGAGGGATGAAAGGATGGTGGTTCTTTTTCGGCGGTTCGCAGGTTCGTAAGGCAGTTCTCTTGTATAGTTGGATGGAAGTTGAAAAGAAAACATCGACCATGCTGGTGCTCTCTGCAGAGCTTCCTCAGGAACTTGGGATCTAGCAGAGGCCACTGAGCAGATCATAGCGGGTCCTCATTGAACGCTCTGCCGGCTTCCTCGATCAGCATGCTGAAAAAAATATGCCTGCGCACAGGTGTTCTACATGTTCAAGACTGCAGTGCAGCGTTTATTAAATTGCACAAGTAACAAGGTCATTCGATGCAACAATTTCATTTTGCAAGATTTTGTTGTATGCTTTCTGATGTCGAAAGTGGCCCGCACATTTGCACTATCGCTTCCGACTCAAGATTTGGCGTTTGTGTTTGTTTCGAGTCTGGAGTCCGACAGACCAACAGCCTTTTTTCAGTGTTCGTCCTATCAAATCCAAAAGAGAATAAAAGAAATGAAGAGACGAAGAGGCATAGCGGTCAAATCGATCCCGCTGGAAAAGCTAAAACCTTTCATGCGTCGGTTGGCCTTGCTTAGCAAAGCCTTAGCCCTATCTTAGAACCACGTATCAGGCCTCCAACCTAATAGCGATGCCAGGAGCCCCTAGTAGCGTCCTTGCTCCTAGTAGTAAGGCCAGGAGCCCCTAGTAGCGTCCTTGCTCCTAGTAGTAAGGCCAGGAGCCCCGAACGTAGC